TAAGTTTTAGTTAACTCTTCCTTAGCATTAGAATATTTTAAACAAAGAAGTTTAAAATCCTATGAAACTTTACTAAGTTTCAATTAACTCTTAATTGTCATTAGAATATGATAAACAAAGAAGTTTAATATCCTATGAAACGTTAGTGAGTTTTAAAATTCAAAAGTAAGTTTTAGTTAACTCTTCCTTAGCATTAGAATATTTTAAACAAAGAAGTTTAAAATCCTATGAAACTTTACTAAGTTTTAATTAACTTTAATTATCATTAGAATATTATAAACAAAAAAGTTTAACTTCCTATGAAACTTTAGTAAGTTTAAAATTCAAAAATAAGTTTTACTTAACTCTTTCTTATCATTAGAATATTTTAGATAATGAAATTTAATGTATTATGAAACTTCAGTAAGTTTCAGTTAACTCTTCCTTATAGCAAAGCCGAATTGGACTATCTCCTTTGTCCGCTGAGGAAAATCGAATTCCGGACTTTAACGTTGTAAGTCACTGCTGTCCTACCGAGGGACCCTATGAGACTTAGTACGTTTTAGTTAAACTCTTCCTTGTCATTTCAATATTTTGAAAAATAAGTTTATGATCGTTATATTTTAACAAAGCTACTTTGGGCAGAAGTTTATAAAAATAACGAAAAGTATCAGTTTTTTCAAGGGATATTTTAGCTTTTAGTAGGGTTTTGTCGATAATTGATGAAAAAAAAAGTGTTTTTAAAGGAAAGAATAAAATCAGGTCTCGGAAAAAAATAGTTGAACAATAAACAAACCAGAAAAAATTAATTTATCACTTATGTGGTAATATTTATCAAAATATTTAAATGACAAACTTAAGTTTTACAGAAATTTTGGTTTTAAGAATTAAAGAAACTATTAAATATTATTCAGAAAACTGGAATACAAATAATTCGATCTGTAATACTTTAAGTTCAAGATAGTGTGCTTACTCCTAGGTGATACTTCTTGTTAGATTGAAAGTTGTTTGAACATGTCACTATAATGATAAAAAGAGGTATACATATAAGTTACGCCGAATATAATTAAAGCATATTTAAAAGAATAAATTTTACAAAAGTTGGTGTGACGCCAAGATTCCTACATTTAACATATAAAATGATTTAGTCTAAAACTTGAAACAAAATATAAGATTGCCAACATACAAAAAAAAAGAAAAGATTTTCGAATTAGTTATGTGTACAATTTTCTGCTCCACCCCCCACAGTGCCACAGCGTATGTCTACGTACTTACAACGCTAGAATCCGGGTTTCGATACCCGTGGTGGGCAGAGCACGGATAGCCTATTGTGTAGCTTTGTGCTTAATTACAAACGAACAAAAAATGTTTTCTAGAGACAGTGGCGGCGCTACACGGGCCATATGCCTACTCAAATTTTTTCTTTGCCCCCCCCCCCTCAATGTAATCCTACATACATAAAGCAAATGTAATGTGTATAATAAAAAACACACGTTCGTTGTATGCTAGAAGTCAACCCGATATATCCTACAATAATAGGTATTTCTAATAAATTTAAGTTTCAAATGGACAGCAACTGCCTGTTGTAGAAACTTACAAATGTAGAGGACGACGTTTCGAAAGTCTTCCGCCTTCAGGTAAGTTTGTGTGCTTATTTTTATTTCTGGCAGTTATTTTGATTTAAAAATAATTATTTCCGAAGAAATAGTTACTAATCAGGGGTGCTCGAAGATTAAGCAATCCTCCTTCACCCCGCGCGTGGCCTAGGAATATGGGCTTAAATTGAGAAACAGGAAATTAACTCAGACAAGCTATATAAACTTAAAAAGGGAAACGTAAAAGTAGAAAGTAAAGAGTGAAGAGCAGAGTAAACTAAACGACCGATATAGGGCAGATGGTCCATCAGGGCGGCGGGGATCTATGAATCCTATGCCAAGAAGTTAATGTGGGGCGGGGGGAACGGGAGTGCCCCGAGAAAACCCACTTTCACTGGTAACGACCAATCCGTTACCAGTGCCCGGTTAGCGAGAAAAAGTAAGTAGGGAAGGCAAAGTGAAGTCCGGTGCTGGGAGGTTGATTAACTTTTGAATGAGTTGTGGATTCTCCTGATGTTCGTCATGGTTTTATTGGGGGTACAGATTCAGGTTACGGGATGGTTTTTAAAGGCGTGAAGTCCTCGGTGTCGCTGGTGAGTGGGTGGAGGGCACAGAAAGGTTCATCGGGTAGGTAGAGGTCGGGGAAGGTGTCAATTACTAGAGCATTGGGTGAAATTGACGACGATGATGTAGAAAGTGGCATGAGACTGAGAGGCGAGTTGCTGGTTTGCTGAAAAGCGTCGTTGCTTACTAGAAAGACTTGCGGCTGGGTCTGGGTGCCTTTTTTTCTCCTTGTAGTGGTGGTTTGGGTTGACATGTCTTGTGTTTCAGGAGTGGGTGAAGTTTGAGTAGCCTGGTCAATTGTAATAGGATGGGCAGTAGAGGACTGGTTGGCGGTGTTTTTCTTTTGGGTGTTGTGGAACGTGGGCTTTGGGAAAGGTAGGGGGGGGTGAGGCTTATGGTATGTTTTTTCTGCTTTGAAGTGATGGTAATCAAGATAGCAGCCGTGGGTGAGGATGGAATCTGCGGTTATCTTGGAAGTTGTGATAACTTTCATAAAAGTGGAAGGTGAACCTGTTTTCTTTAATGGGATACGGTGGACTGCGTGGATCGTACAATTGGTTGTTGTTTCGAGTTATAGTGTTCTAGTGGATTGTGGAGAGCGTGTTATGATTGGATGGTTAAAACACGTTTTTGATTGGAGGAGAGACTTCCTGTAGGCTCAACCAATGGTAGCCACAATTTACTCAGTTTGAATTTCTGTTTAGTGAAGGTTTTATTGTGTTAATGTAAAACGATTCTTTAATTTTTCTTGACTTCCAGAATTTGTCTGTGTCGATGATTCTAGCTTTTTCCCAGTTTATGTTGTGTCCAGTTGACATGGCGTGTTCTGCAATGGCTGAATTTTCTGTTTTCATGAGTCTTGTGTTGTCTTTATGTTCCTTTATTCTTGTCGCGAGTTTTCTTACAAAACACTAAGATCCATTCTGGTGAAGAACAAACAGAAACCTACCAACAAAAAACAGAAAAACGTCACTTATGAAATTCCGTGTTCCTGCAACAAAACATACATTGGAGAAACGGGAAGAAGATTCGCGACAAGAATAAAGGAACATACAACTAAAAGTTTGTATCGAGAAAGAATAAACTGGTTTAATCAAGAAAGGACTTGTATCATTGAAGATCCTCGGAAAGAATTTCTACAGGAAACAAACAAGCAGATACTATTGCACTAAATAGTTATTTATTTAATTAAATAATGCTCGAAATAACACAAAATAATAACATGCAAAAAGCAGGATATGTCCCATAACTATCACAATGTTTTTCTGGCTTCCTAACTATGCCACAAATGTGGCTAGAAATTAAACAAATCTAGTCGCTATGTTTCCCGTGAGAAAAAAAAAGTATAACTGAAACCGAAATT